CGGTCGACTCTGAGGATCCCCATCTCCTGAGAGGCCCCGCGGGGTCATTCTTCGCGGGCAACGCCGCGTTCCACGTCTTAACGAACGACGCAGAAACGACCGGAGGCAACGGCGGCGCGAAAATGTCGCCCCTGTCGACGGCGACGACGCGCGCCTTCGCGGAGAACTCGTTCGCGTCGCTGCCGCGAGCGAGGCAGAGCAGCGTCGGGTCGGGCGGGAGCTCGCAGAGCGGTCTCATCGGCAGCCCGGGCGGGAACTCGAGGCGGACGTTCGTCGGCGGCGCGTTCTCGAGGCGGCTGTCGGGGCTCGGCCGCGCGCCGACGCAACACGGGGACTGAAAACGGACGCGCCCCGCCACCGCGCGACGACGGTCGACGCGCGCGCGTTCGTCTGTTTATACTGAAATAATCTATTCACCTATCTCTACCTAACGCCGAGCGGCCGGTCGCGCGTCAGTTGTTCTGCGAGAACGTGTGCGCGCACTTCGGACACTCGTAGAACACGGTCTGCCCCTCGTCCACGCTTCGCAGCTGCATCGTGTAAAAGTTGAGCCCCTTGTTGTCGCACTTGGGGCACTTCTCGTCCACGACCGCGCGCTCGCGGATGACGTCCTTCACCGCGCCGAACTTGGACCCGTCCGGGTTCATCGGCTCGATCCCGAACTTGTGAAGGAAGTCGCGCGAGTCGCTCGTGCGCTCAACCGCCTCGTCGCCGTACGCCGTCTCCACGGATTCCACCTTCCCGCAGCTCCCGCATCGGCACACGAGCCCGTCGACCGCCTTCGCCAGCGCAGCCTCCCCGGTCGCGACGACGACGCGGTACATGTCCCCGCACGCGTCGCAGTAGCTTTCGATCATGTCGCGAGCGGCGTGTCGGGTAGCGCCGACCCGGGCGCGCGCGTCCCGCCGTGCGTGCGCCGCGGAAGTGAAGGGGGGCCGCCGCCATCGAAAACCTCGCCGCCGTTCGGGGTCGGTTCGATTTCGCAGTGGAGATGGCTGGGAGAAAAGTGCTGCTGACAGTTACGACACGAGCGCGAAGAGAGAAGAATAGATTCGTTCGCTTCGCATCGTCGTCGTCATTACATCGTAAACGTTTTCGCATGATCCCCCCTCTCCCTCCTCCAGCCGCCGATCACGTCCACACGTACTTGCTCGCGTCCTTGAAGCTCGCGCAGTTCCTCTCGAACGCGCCGTCCGCCGCGGGCGCGACGGGCGCGGCTCCGCGCGAGAAGAAGTCTTTCTCCGCGGCGGGCTTCGCCTTCTTCGCGGGCGAGCGGGCCGGGAGCGACGCCGCGAGGTCGTCGAACTCGAACTTCCCGCACGAGGAGAAGAGCGGCTCCGGCACTCGCTTCCACTCGCGCGCGCAGTCCTGCACCCTTGTGTGAGACGACCTTGACGAGATCGGTGCCGAGCGCCCGTGAACGAATCCACCGAAACCCCGCGAACTCCCAGCACACCAAGTGCGTGCACTTGCTCGTCCATCCCGGCTCGTACGTCGCGCCCAACGCGCTCAGGAGCTCCTCGAGATTCGCCCTGCGCTCGCCTTCGTACCCGCTGAGACACACCACGACGTCTCGCATCTCGGGGACGCCGCCGATGAACGGCGGAGGGACGCGACGGAACGTCGGCATGCTGAACTCACGCTGAAAAGGACTCACGCTGAACGTCGGCATGTTCAGTGGAATTATCGCGTTTGTCTTCACGCAATCATCGATCCATGCTAATGTGACGAGCGTCTTCCCAGCAGCCTTCGCTCGGTCGTACGTCTGGGCGTAGCGCTCCTTGAACGCGTTGAACAATTTTCTCTGCTTGATCCCACTTAAGGTTTGCATCGCGAACGTGTGGAGACCGACGGAAGGATCGAAGACGACGTGAGTGATATGGTCATCGGAGCTGGTGTAGTTGTAGATGCAGATCGCGACCTTGCCACGATGTTTCCTCACAAGCGCCGCGCCTGACGCCAACTTGCTACCAGTGGCGCAGAAAAGTACAGTGAGACCGCTCAAAAGGCATTCACAACGGCGATCCTCTGGCGCGCACTTAGGGCAAACGTCGCAGACGGGGCACAGCTCGTCGCAAGACGAGGACTTGCCGCAGTATGCAGATGCGCACTGACGGCACCTTCGGGGAGGAAGTGACATCTCCTGGCAGCGCTCACATTTGACCTTTAAACAGCCCCAGCATTTGAAGCCGCCGCCGTCGGCGAAACAGTCATCACAGTCAAAGCGATCGCAGTAGTCGCAAGACGTCATGCAGTCAAGACAGCAGTCCCTGCCACATTCATACCCGTCACAAGTTGCGATTCGCGCGAAGCCATCATGGCACGGACCGCAGTAGCGTTCCGTGCACCCAGGTACGCAACACATTCTGGAGTCGTCCATTTCGTTGTCCCAGCAGTCAGTACACATCGAGCTACCGCAGTTGCCAGAACACTTCGAAGTGTTCCGGCTTTCGCACAAGCTGCACATCATCCGGCCGCACCCATCGAGTGCTCCCGTGCCACAGGACCGAAGCGTGGCGTTGGACGACGAGTGGATGCAATCGTCGCATACCTCAACGTCTTCGCAATATTCGCACACTGTGCTCGGAGTTTCACCGTGACTCCAGCAAGAAACACACGCTCTCTTCTTGCATTCGTTGCAGTACTCTATCCAACCGTTGTCGACGCACAACTGACACTCACCAGAGTCGCAAAACTCGCAGCACGCTCCCTCTGCGGCGGCGTTCTCGCAATTATCGCACGTCCACAGATCAAACGGGCCATCCTTCTCGAACGGCTTGCAATCATCGCGGGAGTGGCGGACGAAGTCATCGAGCTGCCGGAGATATCGCACAGCTGTGCCTCGGCGGAGAAAAACTTTGTCGAACCGCTGCGACTTAGGAAGCGTGCGGACGTCGAACGTTCGTGCGGAGAGGTACGCGAGGACGTCGTCTTCCGTGGCCTTAGGGCAGTTCGTGAAGTCCATGCACGAGGGCAAAGACGCGCGAAGGGTCGCGGCGTCGCGATACACCCAGCTCGTCGCGGCGAGCGCGACGCGGGCGTCCACGAGAGGGCAGCTCGAGAAGACCTCAGACGCGAGGTCGTTGCCGACGTCGAACGTCGCCGGAGGGGTCTCCTCGTCCGCGGCGCGCGGGGACGATTCCTCAGACCGCGCGGAGGAGATGATGTCGCCGATGCATGGGAGGCGGCTCACGGCGTTGCCACCCATGTGCGGCCCGCCCGGTGCGCGCGAGAGTGAGGGGACTCTGCTCGAAGTTTCCTTCAAACGTTCTGTTAGCGCGTTCAAAACTGAAAGTCATAGCGAAGACGCCCCGCGCGGGCGCGGGCTGCACGCGACGACACGATGCCGCTCGCGTCGTCCGCGCACCACTCCCCCGTCAGAGACGCCTCCCTCGTGAACACGACCGCGATCAAGCGCTCGGAGCTGCACTCGATAAGCAAGAGCGAGCTCATGCACTGGCTGAACACCGCGCTGCGGGTGGACTACACGAGCGTCACGGAGCTCGGCGACGGGTGCGCGTACGCGCAGATCATCGACGCGGTGTTCCCCGACGTCGTGCCTCTGCACAAGGTGAAGTTCAACGCGTCGTTCCCGCAAGACAAGGAGCGCAACTTGATCGTCGTTCGCGACGCGCTGAAGAAGATCGGGTGCGAAGGTCCGAACGTCGACGTGAAGAATCTCCTCGCGGGGAAGTACGCGGCGAACAATGACTTCACGCGATGGCTGTTCGCGGTCGTGAACCGCAACTGCCCGGGGGTGTTCAACGCGTACGACGCGAGGGCGAGACGGAACGCGGCGAAGGAGAAGAAGCGCGCGATGGCGCTCCGCGCCAAGCGCGGCGGCGCGAGCGCGTCGCCGCCGATGCCCAACGTGCTGCTGCGGTCGATGAATCGTCACGTCGCCGCCACCGGCGTCGGCGGCGGACGCGCGGCGCGCGACGTCGAGTTCGACGACGACGCGCCCAGCCCTCGCGGCGGAGGATACGACAGCCCGCGTCGCGAGTGGGTCGGAACCGGGAGCAAGCACGTCAACGTCGGCGGCGGCGCGGGGGGCTGGCGCCCGAGGTCGTCGGGAGGCGCCGGAGCCTCGCGCGGCGGTCGCGCGGCTTCGGGCGTCCGCGCGTCCGACCCCGGGTTCAGCGACGCTTTCAACCGGCTGCGCGTGGACACCGCGCGCGGCGGGGGCGGGGGTCGAGATCGCGATAAACCCTGGGACGATAGCCCGGGCGGGGGAGGGTCCGTGAACTCGAGCGTGGAGTACACCCCGAGCGAGTACAGCCCGAGACGGATACGCGAGGACCGCGAGAGGGCGAGGCCGTCCACCGCGGGCGCGGCGTCGTCGTCGTCGCCGTCGCGGCGGCGAGAAGTGCGATGGTCGTACCGCGAGAACGACGAGAACAGGTACGACGCGTCGTACGATCGCGAAGATCGCGGCGGCGCGGTGGAGTTCCATCCGTCCGCGCGCGACTCGACGACGCGAGCCGGGGATGGAGCGCTCGCGGAGCGGCCGACGACGGCGCCGAACCGACGACGCGGGCTCGATCGATGGGCGGACAAGGCGCGGACGCGACGCGATGCCGCGGCGCAGACGGGGCCGAGTCGCGGGCGATCGACGGCGGCGGACGAGGAAGAAGACCGCGGCGATGACTTCGAGCGGAGAGCGCCGCGGTCGCCGCTCGGACTTCCGCCGACGCCGACGACGGAGACGCGTCGACGCGAGTTTCTGGAACAGGACGAGTACTCGGACGACCGCGACCGCGCGGGCGACGACGCCGTCGCCCTCGCCGCGGAGCGAGAGCGCGAGAGCGCGGAGCTGCGGAGGGAGGTGGCGATAGAGAAGGCGCGCGAGGAGCAGCGCGCGAGGTTCGAGAGGGTCGAGGCGGAGGAAGCGACGCGGCGCGAGCGCGAACGCCTTCGCGAACGCGAACGCGCGGCGCGGGAGGAGGAAAAAGACGCCGAGCTGAGGGCGTACCGCGAGCGCGACGCGCGGAGGGCGGCGCGGCTCGAGCGCGGCGCGGAGGAGCGCGAGCGCGCGCGGGCGAGCAACGACGAGGAGATTCGCGCGCGCGTGCATCGGCGGCGGAGACTGGAGGACGCGGAGAGGCGAGCGACGAGGACGCGGTTGCCGCCGCCGCCGGAGACGCCCGCGGCGGTGCGAAGGAAACGCGCGGACTTGGAGTCGTTAGTGGAGTACCTCAAGTGGGAGCTCGCGGGGGAGTTGAAGCAGTTCAACGCGCTGCAGGAAGACGTTCGAAGGACGAAGAGCGAGCGCGACGACGCGGTGCGGCGATTGGGCGCCGCGGAGGCGGAGGCCAGACGATGACGATAACTTTGCGTCATCAGTTGCGACGACAACCCCGGTCACGCCTCCTCGACCTTCGTGTAGAAGGCGTCCAGTTTGGGAAAGTACCCCGGCATTTCCATGAGGTTGTTGTGCCCACCCCGCGGGACCTCGTGGAATATTTTGTTCTTCCCCTCCTCCCCCGCGACGGCGGCGAACAACTTCTTCCCGCACCACAGCGGCACGATCTCGTCCTTCTCCCCGTGAATCGACAGAAACGGCATCGACGGCGACAGCTTCCCCGCGGCGCGACACACGCCCAGCCACTTATCCTTCATCAGCAGCCGCAGCGGCAGCCACGTGAAGATCTTCTCCGCGATCTCCACGCACGAGCTCAGGCCGCCCTCCGCGACGACGCCGGCGACGGTTTTCCCCGCGGCGTCCCCCGCGTCCGCCATCGCCCCGAGCGCGCACACGCCCGCGCCGCTGCCTATGGACTCCAGGTGAAGCACGAGCTTGCATCCGTCCTCCGCGGCGCGCGTGGACGCCCACTGCACGCCCGCGACGCCGTCCTTGATCATCCCGGGTTCGGTCACGACGCCGGTGCTTCCGCCGTAGCCGCGGTAGTCGAGCAGCGTGACGCCGCATCCGAGCTTGTTCCGAAGGTGATGCGCCCAGTACAGTCGGTTGTGCCTCGAGCCCGCGTTCCCGTGCAGCTGGAGGACGTTGACCTTCTTGTGCTTCCCGTTGGACGGCGCGGGCCAGTGCCACGCCTTGAGCGTCTCCCCGTCGGACGTCCGGATCGCGATCTCTTCGATGTCTCGGCACGGCTCCGGGAGCGTGCGCACCGCGGGCGAATCTTCCCTCGTCGGGAAGTACTGGAGCTTGCGCTGGACGAAGTACAGCAGCGCGCAGACGCCGACGTAGCCGCACCCGGCGACGGTCGCGACCGTCTTCGTCGTCGTGAACGCCATCGCCGTGAGCTTCGCGGCGGTGCCGACCGGGCCCCCGGGCGCGGCGCCGGGGTTCGACGCCTTTCGCCCCGGCGTCGACATCGTCGTCGCGCCCCTTTCGCCGCTCCTACTCCTCCGCGGGGAGGGAACGATCGACCGGACGCGCGGGGACGCGCGATGGAACGCGAGCGCGCGGGCGTGACGCGGGGGGTACCCGAACGCTGGAACGGACGCCGTGATGCGTGCGCGCGCGTCGATCGCGAGCCCGGAAGTGCTCGTGCCGAGGAGAAGAGGAGGCACCCTCCACCGAATCCTGGTCGGGCAGGGCGACGAGCTGGAGGGGGACGAAAACGTTTTCGACAGCTCGCCGCGCCGGAACCTCATCCCCGCGCGCGCCGGCACGACGACGACGATGACGACGCCGCCGACGAAACCGAAACCGACGCGCGCCTCCCCCGGCTCCGGCGCCGCCGTCGGCGCGAAGAAGATGTCCAACGTCCCCGCGGTGAAGAGCGTGCACGTCGGCCCGCTGTGGACGCACTGGGAAGAGAAGCTCGCGTGCTCGCGCGCGGACGTGGACGAGATGCGAACCGCTCGCGACGCCGCGACGCGCGCGAAGGACGAGCTCGCGGAGAAGCTACGCGTCGCGCTCGACGCGCTGACGACGACGCGGAGCGAGAACACCGAGCTGTCCGAGCGCGTCGCCGCGCTCGAGCTCGCGCGCGCGGACGACGCGCGCGCGATGGAGGCGCTCCGCGAGGAACACGCGACGCAGACGGCGTCGACCGCGGAACGCCACGCGACCGAGCTCAGCGAAGGCATGGACGCGAAGTGCAAGCGAATAAAGTGGGAGCTCGAGCACACGCAAAAGACGAAGAAGCGCGAGTGCGCGGAGCTCAGCGCGCAGCTCAGGGCGATGCGGAAAGAGCGCGCGGAGCGCGAGGCGTCGATGCGCGAGGAGCTCGCCGCCGTCGAAGCGCAGAGGGGCAGGTTCGGCGCGCACGCGGAGGTTCTCGTGAAGGACAAAGAGCGCCTCATGGACGAGCTCACGAGATTGCGCGTGAAGCTCAGGCTGATGGTGACAACGATGGAGGAGATGGATCGCGTCGGCGGCGGCGGCGGCGCGCCGGGGAGCGCGAGCGCGGCGGCGACCGCGACGTCGGCGGGGAGGCTTCGGACGCGCGCGACGATCGAAGAAGACAGCTGTGCGCCGTCGCCGGCGACGACGAGCGAGCCGTTCACGCCCGCGCCCGCGCGTATGCCGCGGTCCCTGCTCACGAACGTCCACGGGATGCACGACTCCCCGGCGTCGATCGAGCGACTCGATCGACGCGCCGGGGTGGTTTACACCCCGCCCGTCGCGAGCGGCGCGAAAGCGGTCGCGAAGGCGGCGGCGGCGGAGGCGGAGGCGTTCGACGCGTTTGATTTCTCAGACGGCACGCCGAGCAAGGAGGACATCGCGCGTCGGAAATCCGCGCTCGCGGAGAAAACTAGAGCGTCGCTCGTGCGGTCGGCGAGGAAGCCGCTGCTGTCCCCCGCGGACAGGGCCGCGGTCACGTCCTCGAACCCGTGGTCGGCCACCGCGTGAGCGGCGGGCGAGGCGGTTCCGCTCGCGCCGACGCCGCGGAGGGAGTGCGAGCGCCCGCCCGAAAACGAAACGTCACCTGTACAATCGTATCGACAACAGAAATGATGCATGTAAATCTACAGCACGCGCGTGAAGCGGTCAGACGATTTCGACGACGGACGAACGCGCCTACCCCTACCCCTACCCTTCGCCGCCCGCGTCCCAGCCTAAAAAACGAAACCGAGGGACGAACCGAAACCGAAACGAAATCACTTCTTCCCGTCGTCGTCGTCCTTCTTCCCGAGCTTCTTCGTGATCTCGTCGACGAGCGCCTTCACCTTCTCCAACCCCGCCGCGGCCACGTCCACGCCCGCCTTCGCGAGGGTCTCCGCGCGCGCGAGGAACGCCGTCGCGAACGCCAACAGCGCGTCCCTCGCGCCGGCGAAATCGATTCGTCTCAGCGCCTCTACGGCGTCCTCTATCCTCGTCCTCGCCTCCGCCCCGAAGGTTCGCAACGCCGACTTGACCTTCTTCGGGCCGTACGCGTACACGACGACGCCGGTCGTGACGCCGGCGAGGAACATCGCGTACACAGCGAGCGAATTCCGAAGCGAATCACGTTGCTGCACCTGTTCCACCAACAACGCGGTCTCCCGGTTGAAGGCCTCGAGCTTTTGCCTCGTGCTTTCCACGGGGAGTGACATCGACCTCGCGAAGTCCATCACGGCCTCCATCGCTCCGTCGATGGCGTCGAGCACGCCGGCTTCTCGCGCCATCTTCCTGAGGTCGAACATCTTCATCGGTTCGCCCTTCTCGGAGGCTGACGGAATCGCGAAGAACGCGTCGCGGGGGGGCATCGCGCGCGCGAGCGCGGGCGGCGCATAGGACGTCACGCCGGAAAGCGCGAACGTCGGCGCGAGCGGCATGTTCGCCGGAGCGAGCGGTCGTGAAACAGTGCTCGCGCGTTTCTGACGCCCAGGGGGTCGCGCAGAGATCTGCAGTAATGCTATTTTCCCCTTCCCGCGTGCCGCGACGCGACGACGAATCTTGACCACGAAACGTCGCGCGAACACAAACACGAGTCGCAGATATTTCACGACGCCGAGCCGCCGTGGCCGACGCGCAACTCGTCGGAGAGGGACATCGAACGATGATCTTTCTCTTACGATTAGATTTTAAGTTATTAAAGCACTACACCCCCACACCCCTCGCGCGGCATCGCGTCCCCGTCTTCGCCCCAGACCGTCGCGGCGCGCGTTAAACTGAAAGACAACTCATGGATAACTGAAAAAAACGTCCCCGCCGCCCCGCCTCCTCACAGGACGAACACCCCTTCCGCGGACATGCTCTTCATGACCCCGATCGCGGCGCCCAGCGACGCGGCCGCGGCGGCGAGCTTCAGAGCTTCGATCTCCGCGTCGGCTCTCCGCAGCTTCTCGGCAGCCTCGGACGCGAGCTCGGCGTTGGCGCCGGCGACCTCGCGCGCGGCTTTCAACTTCCCGCGCGTCTTCTCGAGTTGCATATCCTTCGCTCTGATCTCGCGCACGAGTTCCTCCGCCTTCGCGTTCGTCACGCGGAGCTTCGACGCGGCTTCCGTCATCAACCCCGCCGCCTTCTCCGCGGCGGCGGAGCTCGCGTCGCGCGCGGCGCGCAACTCGGCAATCTCCTCCGCGTCCACCGCGTCGGCGTCGGACGCCGCGCGAAGCGTCGCGAGCTCATCCCCGAGCGCCCTCGCGGCGGCGCGCGCGTCCTCGAGCTCCGCGCGCGTCGCGTGAAGCTCCTCCAGCGTGCGGAGGTTCGCGTCCTCCGCGACGGTCGCCGCCTTCTTCAGCGCCATAATTTGAATCGCCGCGTTTTTGAGTTCCGCGGTGTGCGAAAACGCGTCGCGCTCCAGAGTCTGAGCGCGCGTCGTCGCCGTCTCCATCTCGAACGCCAGGGTCTCCGCGTACTCTTCGGACAGCGCGATCTTCTCGTCGCGCGTCGCGAGTTCCGCGCGAAGCGCGTCGACGACGTCGGACTCGACGTCGTCCTCCGCGTCGACGGATTCCTCGATCTCGACGGCGTCCTCCTCGACGGCGAGCGCCGCGGCGATGGCGGCGCCGTCGGAAACTTTCGCGACGACGGAGGCGACGTCGACGTCGCAGTCGACCGCGGCAACGTCTTCCTCGACGTCGACGCCGCCGGCGAGCGCAGAGGCGATCGTCGCGCCGTAGGACACCTTGCCCACGATGGTCCGGACGTCGAAATCGACGTGACCCGAATCCTCGACGGTCGCGACGTCTTCCTCGCGCGTCATCTCCTCCGAGGCGACGAACGCCTCGATCTCGCTGATCGCCTCCGGGGCGACGACCCTTCGCATCCACGCGACGGGGATGAACAGTTTCTCGAGGTAGCGCACCCACGCCGCGGACCTCTTTGTGGCGTCGTCGTCCTCGTCCGTCGCCTCCGGCGCGAGCGAGGCGTCCGCGTCGGCCGCGGCGTCCGCGTCGGCCGCGGCGTCCGCGTCGGCCGCGGCGTCCGCGGCAGCGGCGGCTTCCGTCTCGAGCGCCGTCGTCGCCGCCGCCTCGAGCGCGAGAAGCTCGTCGTCGTACTGGTACTCCTCCTCCTCGACGTACTCTTTCTGCGGCGCCCTCGCCATCTCGAGGTACTCCAAGAGGAAGTCAGGGTACGTGTCTTCTTCGACGTACGTGTCCGGGTTGATGACTTGCGGCGTCTCGTGGACGCGCTGTTCTTCGACCGTCTCGAAAACTTCCGCGACGGGCGTCGGCGGCGTCGGCGCGACTGGCGGCGCCGGCGCCTCGACGACAGCCTCGACCATCGCGATCGGCGTGGGTGGCGTGGGAATCGCGGGCATCGCGGGCGCGACGGGCGCGACAGCCTCGATCGGCTCGAGCGTCGGGACCGTCGACTCGGACATCATCGCCGCGGCGATTTCCGCGCGCGTCTTCGCCTCCGCTCGAATCTCCGCTCGAATCTCCGCGTCGTCCCCCTCCCCGACGACGACGCGCGTCTGCTCGAGACCGACCGGGAGCGTCACAGCCGCGTCCTCGACGACGATCTCGTCATCGTCCTCGTCCTCGTCCTCGCGCTCGAGCTCGCCGACCAGCGGCTGGTGCTCGACCGCCTCCATCGCCTTGGCGCGCTCGAGCTCCTCCAACGTCCTCTTTTGCGCCTCGATCTCGGCTTCGAACGCGTCGACGCGGTCGAGCTCCGCCGCCGCGCGCGCCGCGTCGTCGTACGCATCCCTCGGCGAGGGCGGCGTCATCGACGGCGGCGTCGGCGGCGTCGGCTTCACCGGCTTCACCGGTATCGCCACCTCCGCGAGCGTTTCCATCACGTCCGGCATCGGCGTCTGCGTCACCGCGGGCGCGATGTCGAGGTCGTCCGCGACGCCGCGTTCGCTGTCGTACGCGTAGAGTTTCGACGCGAACGCGACGGCGTCCTCCTCGACGTCGAGCGCGTCGTCGTCCACGACGGTCGGGGCGTCGTGCGCGCCCGGGAGGATCGCGGCGATGTCGCCAGAGTTGAGCGCCTCGAGCATCGCCTGCATCTCCGACAGCGCGTGCGATCGCCGCGCGGCGTCCGCTTCGAGCGCGTCAAAGGCGGCTTCCGCGTGCGACGCCGCCGCGAGCGCGTCCGAGAGCGCGCTCGCGCGCACGGATTCGCCTCGGTCGTTCGACTCGTCGCTCGCGCTCGCGCGCCCGGGGGCGTCGGGGACGTGCGCGCCCGCGACGACGGACGACCGCGCGGCGCGCGAGGACGACGACGTCGACGCGTGCACGACGCTCGGGGCGCGATGCTTTAGCAGCCTGCGCGCGATGGGCGCAGGGAGGGGGGGGGGGAGGAGGCGCGATCGACGATGAGCGACGGTTCGTTCGCGGAAAAACGGGCGAGGAGGGGAAACAAATAAAGTAAGATGATGCGCGCGGGGGACGCCGCGCGCGACCGCGGCCGCGGCGGCGTCGGCGTCGAGAAACAGAAGCGCGAGGGAGGATGAGGAACGCACCCGATGCGGCCGATGGCGGAGACGACGCGCGTCGTCCTGGACGCGTCGCGCGAGGACGCGGTCGGGAACCGCCGCGTCGTCGCGCGCGACGCGATCGTCGTTGTCGTCGTTGTTGCCATCGCGGATGATGACATCTCGACGACGACGAGTTTCTTCGTTCGGTGAGCGCGCGACGGACGACGCGCGGGAGCGTGAGCGAGGCGGACGCGACGCGCGGGGAGCGTGCGCGCGAGACGCGGCGGAGGGTGGAGGGTGGGCGAGGAGCGACGCGCGCGCTGCGGTGCGGGGAAGTGTGTCGTAACTTCCGAGCGAACCGTTCTGTTGTTTCCCGCCCTCGTGGCAAAAATCTGCGAGAATCTGCGAGGCGTTTGCCCGGCTGTCAGTCACGAACCCACATCGATCGGCACCCACCGAAGCACCGCGACAGCTCGAGGCGAAATCTGATCTTCTGAAATAAATTTCCTCATCAAATTTGGTGCGCGCGTCGTCGTCGATGGCGACCACGTGCCTCTCCGCCGCGAGCGTCTTCGCGCGCGCGGTCCGCCGGACGACTTCATCGCGCGCGCGCGCGACCGCACGTCGTCGCGTCGTCACCTCCGCGACGTCCGGCGACGCGTTCACGGTGACGTACTGCAGCAACTGAGACGGCGGCGGACAAGAGCTGAACGCGGCGAGAGAAGCCATCTTGTCAGTTCACCCTGGCGCAAAAATCGTCCCGGACCGCATCGACTTCTACCCGATCACCGTGACCGTGAAGCAGGGCGATGACGTCGTGTGGACCGGACGTCAGCAAGGATTGTTCGGTAAAAACGGGAGGCCCGCGCAGGCGGAGATCGTGAAGGCGCTCAAGGCTCGACAGTAAGTTGTCTATTCTCCGCCCGCGAGGAGGTCGTATCCGAACATTAGATGGGAACGCGTCGGCCCCTCCCGTCGTCCCCGTGCTCGTGCGCGTCCGATGACGCGGCCGCCGCTGAAAGCCTCGCATCGCAGGCATGGCGTGCCGCCGATCACGACGTACGAAACGAGCGACGAGGCGCGGGGGCGAGAAGACGCGTGGTTTTTAGGTCATTAGATAATATCATTTTTCTCCAACTTAATTTCTCGTGAAGTGTGAGCGAGACTGCTCATCACTTCCACCTCCTCAGCTCCCCCTTGAGATGCTCGATCTCCTCCTTTGCTTTCTCGAGCTCCTCTTTCGACGCGGCCATCTCCACCTCCATGGTATCCTCCAAAATCTCCGCCATGAGCTGCTCCAAGTCGTCGTCCGTCTGCAACAGCTTCTTCGTGAGCTCCTCCATCTGCGGGTCGATCTGCGGCGTCGGCGACGTGTACGGCTGCCGCTCGATCGGCGTGAACCGCAGGTGGCTGCCCGGGTCGATCCCGGCGTTCTCGAGCTGCGACCAGAGCTGCGTCGCGAGGTTTTCAATCTCTTGCACCTTTCTCTCCGCGTCGTCCTTCTCGTACTTCGCGAACTCGGCCTCCTCCCTCAACCTCATCTGCTCCGCGATGATCGTCTCTTGCATCGCCATCGCGTCGCGGCCCTCCTTGACCTGCGCCTGCAACGACTTGATGTGCAGCATGAGCTTCCGCGCCGCCGCCTCCTCGATGCGATCCGCGTCGTCCGGGTCGAACCCCTCGTCGCCGTCGGCGAGTCCCTCGCGCGTGCCGATCACCGCCGCGAGCGTCGTCTCCAGACCGGAGATTTGCTCCACGAGCTCCTTCTCTCTCTGTTTCAGCGCCTCGAACGCCTCGTCGTGGTCCTCCCCGAGCGCGGCGCGGTTCGCGATGTTCCCAGCCTCGGCGGCGGCGGCTTTCGCGTACGCCGCGCGCGCGTCGTCCGCCGCGGTGTTCGCGCGCTCGCGCTCGTGTTGAAGCTCTCTCCTGAGCTGCTCGAGCTTGTCCTGCGTCTCCGACCCGGTCATCTTCGTCTCCAGAAGCGCAACCTCGGACGTCGTCAGCTCCTGAAGCATCGCCTGCTCCATCGCGCGGAGTTCTCTCTCCGCGCGGTTCAACGCCGCCTCCAATCGCTTCACCGTCTCCGTCGTCTCGACGTGCGTCGCGTTGAACATGAGCTCGCTGTTCTTCGCCATCGCTTCCGCGTTCGCGAGCGCGCTTCGCGCGTCCGTCGTCGTCTCTCTCAGGCGCGTCTCGAGGTCGAGGGTGTTGATCTCGAGAGACTCGATCGTCGCGTTGCGTTCGCGCACCGCCGCCGCCGCCGCCGCGAGTTCGTCGCGCAGCGTCCGCTCCCTGTCGACGGCGGCGTCCATGGCCGCGCGCCTCGACTTCGCCGCCGCCTCCGCGGCGTCAGCGGCTCTCGAGGACGCGATCTCCATGAACTCGCGCGCCGCCTCGGTCATCCCCTCGGCCTTTCTCAGAGACTCCGTCGCGCGCTCGACGGCGGCGGCGCTCTTGATCGCGCCCAGCCTCGACTGCTCGATCTCGTCGCGGATCGTGTTCACGTCCTTGCCCTTCGTCTGCCCCGACATCGCCTCCATCCTGTTCAGTCGGTCTTCAATCTGGCGCAAACGGAATGACGCCGTCGCGGTATCCTCCGCGGCGTACCGCGCCTCCATCGGCGGCATGTCCACGCGGGAGAGGGAAAACTCGAGCGCTTCGATTTTATTGTCGCGATCCGCCGCCGCGCGCGCGGCGTCGTTGCGCTTGCGATCCGCCTCTTGCGTCGCGTAGTCGAACCGCGTCTTCGCTTCGTCCAGCTCGCGCCGCAGGCGGTCGTCCACGTCGTACGACTGTTGCGCGTTTCTCTCCGCGTCCTGCGACGCGTACGACGCCCGCCTCGCCTCCTCCGCGAGGTCGTTCGCGCGCTGTTCGATCTCGCGTTCTCGGCTCGCCGCGTCCTGCGCCGCGACGGAGAGCGCGTCGAGCTCGCGCCGCGCCGCCTCGTGCTCGCCTCGCATCCAGTTGATTTCCTCCTGTCGCGACTCGACCGCGCCGCGGAGTTTGTTCGCGCGCTCCTCCGCCTGCCTCGCGCGGAAGCGCATCTCCACCGCGGCGACGGCGGCGGCTCTTCGCTGCTCCTCGGTGCCTCCGCCGCCGACGTCAGCCGCCGCGGAGACTTGCGCGTCCGACAGCTCTCGGCGTAACCGCTCGAGGTCGCGCTCTTTGCTCTCCAACGACGCGGCGATGTCGCGCGAACGCTGGTCCGCGTGGTGGTAGATGTTCGATGCCTCGTCGTGCGCGGTCTTCGCGATTTGAAGCTCCATCTCCAGGCGCATGACGTCGTCGCCGCCGCCGCCGCCGCCGCCGTACCCGGAATCGTACGACGACGGCTGCGACGACTCGCGCTCTTTCGCGTCCACGAGCGCTTGCAATCGCTCGACCTCGCTCTTCGCGTCCTTGACGATGTCCTGGCCTTTCGTCAGGAACGCGTCCGCTTTATCGCGCTCTTGGAACCACCGCACCGCCTCCGGGTCGTCTTTCGAGTACCCCTCCGCTTTCAACCGCTGGAGCTCGGCGTCCGCCTTCCGGTACCCTTGCACCCCCGCGTCAAACTTGGCCTGCTTCGCGTCGTACTCGTCCTTCGCGCGCTGCAGCGCGTCTTGCGCGTCCCTCAGGCTCGAGTTATCGCCGCCCGCGGTGCCGCCGTACGGCGCGTCGTATCCGCCGCCCGCGTTCGCGTTCGCGTTGGCGGCGCTCTCTTTCGAGCGAGCGAGCGCGAACTCCGCGTCGGACGCCGCCGCGCGTCGGCGATCGACGAGGTCCGCCGCCGCCGCCGCGGTGCGCTTCGCTTCCTCGACCGTCCCTCGCATCACGCTCAGCTCTTTATCCCGCTCCTCCACGGTCGCGCGGAGCTCGTTCACTCGTCCGCCGCCGCCGCCGCCGCCGAACGACCCCGCGTTCGCGAGCCTGCGCTCTTCCTCCATCGCGGCTTCGGACTCGCGCGTCGCGGATTCAAACTCGCCGACGGCCTGCTCGATCTCCGCCTTGACTTCGACGAGTTCGCGTTCTTTCCGCTCGATCGTGTCGCGCATCTTGTTCGCGGCTTCCTCCGCGGCTCTTCCTCGCGACTTCGCCTCGACGGTCGCGATCGACGCGAGCCTGCGCTCGTCCTTGATCGCGATCGCAGCCTCCGCGATTCTGCGAGAGCGTTCGATCTCCTCGCGCGCGGCTCGCAGCTCGGCTTCCTTCTGCGACGCCGGTCGGCGATCCGACATGCTCTGGTCCACCTCCGTGAATCGTCGCTTCGCGTGCGCGAGCTGCTCCGCCGCGCTTCTGGACTGCTCCTCGAGCTCGGTCGCGTACGACGCCGCGCGGCGAGCTTCGTCGATGCGCGCGCGGAGCTCATGGCTCTCGCGTTGGCCGCTGTTTTGGTTCTCCGCGGCTTCGCGCTCGGCTTCGTTGAGCTCCGATCGCAGCGCGTTTTCGCGATGCGTCGCGACTTCGTACGCGCTCTTCGCCGCCTCGAGGGAGATGGCCATCTTCTCGACCGCGTTCTGCCCCGCCGCGTGCGCCTCGCGCGCGCCGTCCGCGGCGCGTTCCTCCGCGCGCATCACCGCCTGCGCGGCTTCGTCCGCCGCCGTCGCCGCCGCCCTCGCGTCGGCGCGCGCCTCCTCCAATCCGTGTCGACGGTCCGCCATGTTCTTCGCCTTTTCGTCCGCGTCGCGTTTCTTATCCGCGACGCGCGTGTCGCCCTCGCGGACGATCCCGTGGAGCTCGTGCACCGCGGCGTCGTACGCCGTCCGCGCCTGGTGAAGCTCGCCTTGCAGCCACTCGATCTCCTCCGCGCGCGCGTCGCGTTGCGTCAACGTCTGCGAGATTTGCTCCTCGAGCGAAAACACAGACTGGTCGTCGTTCAATCGCCGCGCGCGGTCCGCCTCGTGGCTCAGACGCTTCACCTGCGCGGACATGCGCTCGCGCGCGCTCTGTGCCATCACGACGTTCGCTTCGCTGAGACGGAAACGCTCCGCGGCGGCTTCTTGCGCGTCCGCGGCGATTCTCGCGTTGTTCGCCGCCGCGACGCGCGTCTTCGCGAGTTGGATCCTCGCCGCCGTCGTCTCCTTCTGCGCCTCCTCGAACACGTTTTTCATCGCCGCGACTTGCGTCTCCGTCTCCCTGACGCGGTCCTTGGCGTGTCTGAGCTCTCTGTGCGCGCTCTGCGTCGAGTCCGCGAAGTCTCTGGCTTTTTCGATTTTCTCCGACGCCGCGATGGCGATCTGCCGCGCCTCGTCCGCGACCGTCTCGGCGCGCTCCTCCGCGCGGAACAGCCGCGCCTTGGCCTCGTCCGCTGTCGCCGCTCTCACGCTGCCTTCCCTTCGCGCTTCGTTGAGCTCCTCCCTGACGAGGGAGACCTCGCGCTCTTTCGCTTCGACCGCGTTTTTGAGTTGCTCGGCGCGTTCCTCCGCGATTCTCACGCGCGCGTTCGCCTCGTCCGCCGCCGCCGCGGTAGTCTGCCTCATGTCGTCGAACTCGCTTCGGAGGTGGTCGAGCTCGATCTCGTTGTGTTCTTTCGCGGTCTCCGCCTCCTTGACGCGCTCGCGCGCGGCGCGAAGGTCGTCGTCGTAGTTGAACATGTCGTGCTCGTTCTTCATGTCGACGATTTCCTGTCTCAGTCCATCAATCTCGGCTTTCCTCTTCTCGATCTCGGCGTTCCTCTCCTCGATCGTCGCCCTCGCTTCGTTGACGCGCTCGTTGCTCTCCTTGAGCGCGTCCGCGGCGGCGCGCGCGGCGTTCATCGCGCCGTCTTCCGCTCCGAGCGCGGTCTGCTTCGCGACCTCGAGCTCGGTGCGTAACCGCTCGAGTTCCGCGTCGGTTTCCTCCGCTCTGACCCTCGCCGTCTCTGCGCGCTCCGCGAGCTGCCGAAGCTTCTCCGCGGCCGCGGCGTTTAACCCGTGGTTCTGCTCGAGCTCCTCGCGCGCTCTCTCGAGCTCCGCGGTCCTCTCGCCGAGGTACCACTCCTTCTTCGAGACGACGTCGCTCAGCTCGGCGACTTGGCCTTGCAACGCCTGGAGCTCGTTCTCGCGCTCGTTCCCCCTCGCGCGCGCGTCCTCGAGCTGCTTCGCGAGGTCTGCCGCCGTGGACGTGGAGCCCTGGAACTTCGCCTCGCTCTCCTGCATTTGTCTCCACGCGTCCTCGGCTTCTTTCTTCGCCGCCTGGACCAACCCGTCCACGTCCTCGAGCGTGGACAGCTGTAAATCGAGCTCGCGCTTCAGCTCGTTCACTCGGGCGTCCTTCTCCTCGACTTGTCTCTGAAGACTGTTCGCGCGCTCCTCGAGCTCGCGCACTCGCCCACCCTCCTCCTGCGCGCGGTTGTTGTTGTCGTTCGCGGCGGCGTACGCCTCGTCTCGCGCGCGTTCCGCCTCGGCGACTCTTCGATTCGCCTCGTTCACCTCGTTCCTCGCCCTCTCCGCCTCCGCGCGTTGTTCGCCCTCGTAGTGCTGCGCCTTCTGCGCGGCGTCCTGCCACTTGTCGATCTCCTCCACGAGCTCTTTCACCTTGGCCGCGCGCTCGTCCGCGGCGGCGTAGAAGAGCTCCTCCGCGTCTTGCACGTCTTTCCTCGCCCTGTCCAGCTCCTCTCGCGCGTTGTGCAGTTCATCCCTCGCGCCTCGGAGCTCGTCCCCGAGCTTGTCGCGCTCGCTCTCCGCGTTCCTCGCGCGCTCTTCCAGGCCGTGCACGCGTTCAGCTTGTCCGCGCGCGTCCTCGAGCTCCTTGCGCGCGACGTCGAGCTGCTGCCTGTGGTCGTTCAGCTCGCGCTCGAGGTCGTCTTTTTTCGCTCGAAGGAGCACGCCGCGGACGACGCCGGGGCGCGCGATCGGGGGTCGCCCGGGCGCGCGCGAGGACGCGGATCGCCATCCCCGCAGCGCGTCGCCTTTCGGGAAGAACCCGAGCGGCGACGGCGCGTCGTTCTTCGCGACGGCCGCGCGCGTCGTGGACGACGGCCTGCGTGGGAAGTTCGGAGACGGGGTTGGGATTGGGGTTGGGATTATTGGGCATTCATTCAATCATCGCGTTCGGCGGTTTGAATGAATCCGCGCGGGCGCGGCCGCGCCCGCGGCGAGGGAATCGCGATCGAGACGCACCGGTGATTAAGAAACGCGAGCGTCGACCCCGGTCGCGACCGAAGTCGATCCGCGACCGGGATCGCCCGCGTCGCGTGGGCCGCCAGCGCCATCGGTGTCTGCGCGCCGCCCCCCGTTCTTCCGTTGTTACCCTCTCCAATGTCCACATCAGCAGGTTTTAGGGTAAGGTTTCTTACAGGTTATTATTGGGCCCATAAATCATTCTATTTTTTTCGCGTCGGGCCGGAGAGAAAGCGCGTTCTGTTTATGCTGTGACACACCAGTGTGACGCACGAACTTGTTTTCACTTCACGCGGCACCACCCCCGCTCCCACACGCGATGGGATCCACGTCATCCTCGGTGAGCGCGCCGACGGGCTCTCCCGACGAGTACGTCGTGACGTACTGCAGAAACTGAGACGGCGGGCAGCAAGAGATGCGCGCCGCGAAGGACGCGATCTTGCAGGCTGTGCCGAACGCGAAAGTCGCCGCGGTGCGCGTCGACGAGTACCCCATCACGGTGACCGTGAGCAAAGGCGGGGAGACGATCTGGAGCGGACGGCAGCAGGGGTTGTTCGGTAAGAACGGGAGACCCGCGCAGAGGGAAATCATCGAAGCGCTGCGGAAGCGCTGAGGACGCGTCGGAGGAAGGGACGCGGCGGGGACGTCGTCGACGGCGTCGAAGTTGTAGGAGACGCGGACGGCCCCAGATCTCGCATCACATAGCACCACCGAGCGCTCGCTCTCCGTCGGGGAACAGCCGCCGTTCACGCCGCTCGTGACGCCGCCGCCCTCAAGCCATCTCTCGCGAGAACGGCTGGGCGGAAAGGCTGACATCGCGGACGCTGAACGCGGCGACGCCAGCGACGGACGAACGCTCGACCTAGTTAAAATGAAAATAAATTGACCATCATTTCGACTCTACTCGTCACTCTACTCGTACACCTCGCTCGTCACCGCGAGGACCTCCGCATAGCTCCACTCGGATCGATCCCGGCGCCTTCCAGCTGCGCCCACAGGTGCGCGGCGAGAAGCTCCATGGAATCGATCTCCCTCGCCAACGCCTCGGACGCTCTCGCGACCGCCTCCGGGTCCGTCTCTCCCGAGCGCGTCAGCGCCTCGCTCGCCCTCTCCGCGCCGACGGCGGGCGGGACGAACTCGACGACGGGCGCGAGCCCGGCGTCCTTCACGCACTCCACGAGCGCCGCGCCGACCCTCTCGAGCTCCTCCAGCTTCGTCTCCGCGTCCACGAGCGCGGCCATCTCCGGCGTCGCGAGCAGCGTCGGCGTCGCGTACCGCGTCTCGCGCGTCGACCCCGGGAGCGGCCGCCGCGGCGCCGGCGCCGCCCTCGACGACGACGACGCCGACGCCGACGACGCCTTCCCGCGCGCCACGCTGTTATTCGCGAGCTCCCTCGCCATCGCGCTCTCCATCAACCGGAGCTCCGTCTCCGCGTGCGACAGCGACGTCTCCAACCGCTTATACGTCGCCGCGGCGTCCTTCGCCGCGCTCGCCGCGGCGTCCTCCGCGTCTGCGCGCGCCGTCTCCGCCGCCGCCGCCGCCAGCCTCGCCGATTCCAACGCCGACGACGACTCGAGCTGGAGCTCGCGCAGGGAACGCTCCATGCGCGCGATCGTCTCGTCGCGCTCGAGGATCGCGTCTCGAGACGCCGCCTCCGCGCGCTCGAGCTCCGCGACGAGCTCTTTCAGCCGCGCGTTCGCCTCGCGCTCCTCGCGCGCCGCTTCGGCGGCGAGGTCGTCGTACGCGGCGGCGGCTTCGGCGAGTCGCCGGGACGTCGCGGTTTCGCGGTCGGCCAACGCGCGCTCGGCGTCCTCCTTCGCCGCGCGCGCGCGCGTCTCCGCGCGCTGGACGCGTTCCGCGGCGTCGGACGCGTCGCGTCGCGCGGCGTCGACGATCTGCTCCGCGGCGAGGAGACGCTCCGCGGCCTCGGCGGCGAGGTCCGCGTTGGACGACGCCGTCGCGCGCGCCCCGTCGAGCTTGCGGCGCATCGTCTTGAGCTCCTCGTCTTTCCCCGCGAGCTGTCGAAGCAGCCGCGTCTCCGCATCGGACGCGGACGCGGACGCGTCGCGCCGCAGCGTCTCGATCTCCTCTTGCATCGATCGAATCCTCGCGCCGCCTTCCTCCGCGGCGACGGCGGCGGCGCGGCGGACGTCCTCGAGCTCTTGCTCCGTGCGACGCGCGCGCGCGATGACCTCCTCCGCCGCGCTCGCCGCCTCCGCCGCGGCGAGCGCCGGGGAGGACGCCGCCGATTTAATGCGGTCCAGATCCTCTTCCGCGGCGCGGATCCGCGCGTCGGCGCGCTCCGAGGCGTCTGCGGCCGCGGTCTTGACGGCGACGAGCTCTTCCTCCGCGGCGGCGACGCGCGCGCGGCCTCGCTCGGCGGCTTCCGCGGCGGCAGCCTTCACCGCCGCGAGTTCCGTCTCGAGGCGCGTCGCGCGGTCGTCTTCGTCGTCGCGCGTCGCCGCCGCCGCCTCCTCGGCCGCCGCCGCGATCTTCGCGAGCTTGTCGTCTTGCTCGTCCACGATCGCGCGCGCTTCGTCGCGCTCTTTACGGAGTTTTTCGATGAGCGCGCCGCCATCCGCACTCGGACGCTCGGACGCCTCCTCGATGTTTCTCTCGAGCTCTCGGATCCGAGCGCCGCCCTTCTCCGCGGCTTCCGCGGCGGCGGCTCGCACCTCCTCGAGCTCGAGCTCCATGCGTCGGACGCGCTCGTCGTGGTCTTCGCCGCTCTTCGCGTCGTCCTCGCGAGGCGGTTCCGGTTCCGGCTTCGCCGCGGCGGCTTCTTCCAACTTTGCGACCGTCTCCTTCATGGAGACGATCGTCTCCTCTTGAGACTTGATGCGTTTTCCGCCCTCCTCCGCGGCGGCGGCTGCGGCAGCTTTGACCTCCTGCAGCTCCTTCGTCAGCTCGAGTATGCGCTCGACGTTCTTCTCGTCGTCCAAGGACGACGCGGACGACACCGCGACGGTTCTCGCCTCCGCGGCGGTCGCTTCCGCGTCCGCGACCGCGACGCGTAAGCGTTCGAGCTCCTCCTGTTGCGACTTGATGCGTTTTCCGCCCTCCTCCGCGGCGGCGGCGGCGGCGGCTTTGACCTCCCGAAGCTCAAACTCGAGCTCGCGGACGCGCTCGTCGCCGACGTCGAGCGCCGTCCTCGCGTTCGCGAACTGTTCCGCCTCCGCGCGAAGACGCTCGACTTCTTCCTCCGCGGCTCGGATCCGAGCGCCGCCCTTCTCCGCGGCTTCCGCGGCGGCGGCTTTCACCTCCTCGAGCTCCTCCATCACCTTCCTCGCCTTCATCGCCTCCTCCTCGATCTTCGCGGAACCCGCCGCGGCTTTCCGGAACATCTTCATCTCGGCCGTGAGCTTCTCGATCTTCGCGCCGCCCGCCTCCGTGGCTTCCGCAGCCTCGGCTTTCACCTTTTCGAGCTCGTCTTCGGTGTCGCGCAGTTTGTTCTTCGCGGCTTCAGACTCGCTCGCGCGCTCGCGCAAGATTTCAACCTCGTCCTGCAGCGCTCGAATGCGCGCGCCGCCGTTCTCCGCCGCGGATTTCGCGTCCGATAAGACCCTTGCAAGCTCGTCTTCGGTGTCACGCAGTTTGTTCTTCGTGGCTTCAGACTCGCTCGCGCGCTCGCGTAAGGTTTCAACCTCGTCCTGCAGCGCTCGGATGCGCGCGCTGCCGGACTCCGCCGCAGATTTCGCGTCCGATTTGATCTTCTCGAGCTCGATAGCCGCGGCCTCGAGCGCTTTCGCGGCGAGAATTTCTTCCTCGCGCCGGCGCTCGAGTTCTTCTTCTTGCGCACGAATCCGCGCGGTGCCTTCCTTTCTGGCAATCGCGGCTTCTTCGCGAATCTCCTCGAGCTCGCGCTTGTTCGCCATGAGGCGCTCGGTCGCTTCCTCCGCGGCCTCGACCGCGGCCTCGCGCTGCTTCTCCGCGTCTCGCGCCTTCTCCGCGGCGTCTCGCGCCTTCGTGAGCTCTTCGAGCACGGAAAGCAGCTCGACGTCCTTTTCCTCCGCTTTCGCCTGCAACTCTTCCACGCGCTCGCTCAGGGATGAAATCCTCGCCCTGCCCTCGACCGCGGCGGATTCCGCTTGCTCGCGGACGTTCTCGAGATTTTTAGCTTCCTTTGCGGCGGCGACCGCGACAGCGCGCGCTTCGTCGAGCTGTTCCTGCATGTTCCGCACGTCTTTGTCTTTCTCCTCCATCATCGTCATCAGCTCCTTGACGCGCTCGTTCGCGTCGCGTAAACGCTTCCCGCCCTCTTCCGCCGCGGTCGTCGCCGCGACGCGGATGCTGTCGAGTTCTTTCGTGAGTTTATCCGCGTACTTCGCGGCTCCCGCCTCGCCGTTCTTCAACCGCACGCGCAGGTCGTCCGCCTCTGCCACCGCGGCGTCTCGCGCGGATTCCAATTTTTTCGCCGCCTCGGCGGCGACGACGGCGGCGCCTCGAGCTTCTTCCAACGCGTCTTTCATGCGCTTCATGTCGTCGTCCTTCTTTGCCACGAGCTTTTCGAACAGTTGCACGCGCTCCTCGAGGTCATTGATCTTCGCGCGGCCCTCGACCGCGGCGGTCTTCGCCTGGTCGCGGATTTTTTCGAGCGATTTCGCCTCTTTGGCGGCGGCGACGGCAACCGCGCGCGCCTCCGCGAATTGCTCTGTGAGCTTCGCGATTTCCTTGTCCTTGGACGCGCACAGGTCCGTGTACTCTCTGACTCGCGATTCCGCGTCTCTCGCGTTCCAGGACGCTTGCTCGAGCTCCTTCGCCGCCTCGGACGCTTTCTTGTCGAGCGCCTGTTGCCACGAGTCCGCGCGTTCCTCCGCGGCTTTAATACGCGCGCGGCCCTCCTCCGCCGCCTTCTTCGCCGCGGCTTTCACTTCCTCGAGCTCCCTCGCCGCGGCGTCGTAGCTCGCTCGGAACTCTTGGATGCCTTGCTTGAGCGCGGCGTCGAGCTTGAGCGCGGCGGCTTCTTCGTTCTTCGCGATCGCGAGCTCCCACTCCTTCGCCTTCGCTTCCGCCTGACGAATCCGCTTTCCGCCCTCCTCCGCGGCGGCGATCGCCGCGGCTTTGACTTGCTCGAGCTCCTTCGCCGCGAGTGCCGCGGCTTCCTTCGCCTTGGCCTCGCCTCGTTTCAGACGCTCTTTGTAGTCCTCCGCCTTGAGCTTGTACTCCTCCATCTCCGCGACGGACCCGCGCACGGATTGCTGAATGACATCGGACATCCCGTCGAATTGATTGAGCGCGCCTTTCGCGACGTCCTCCGCCTTTCGTTTCGCGTCCAGCGCGTCTTGTAAGCTCCGCTCTGCTTCTTTCAAGCGATCCGTCGCGTCCGCAGCGGTGTTCGACGCGACCATGCGAGCGTCCTCCGCGACCCTGAGCATGTCCTCGGCCTGACGGAGGCGATCCGCGATCGCGCGGCCGCGATTGTCCATCTCGTTCGTCACCGCGAACGCGTCTTCGAGGCGTTTTCTCGCCTCCTCGAGCTCCGCCGCGAGCTCGTCCCGGCGCTTCTCCGCGTCCGCGATGCGTCGCCGCGCGTCCGTGTCGTCCGTCGCGAACGCTTTCATCTCCTGCATCGCGAGCCGCGCGGCCTCGAGCTGCGCCTCGCGCTCGCGCACGATGTTCCGCGCGTCGTCGCGTTCGGTTTCCAACGTCGCGATTTTGCCCAGTCGCTCGTCCGCGACGTTCCGCGCGTAGTCGCGCTCCTTCAGAAGCTTATCCACCTCGCCGTCGTGCGCTTCAGCCTTTTTCCGCGCGGAGACGAGCTCGTCGTCGCGCGCCTTGACCATCCCGCGCGCTTCGTCGCGCTCTCGAAGCAACGTCTGCAGCTGCGCGTCGCGCTCGGCGACGGTCGCTTTCGCGTCTTCGCGTTCGCGTTGCAACGCGCGCAGCTTTTCGGCAAAGTGAGACTCCACCTTGTCGCCCGCGTTCGCGAGCTGCGCGTCGCGCTCCTTCACCATCCCGCGCGCTTCGTCGCGCTCGCGCATGACCTTGTCGAGGACGTGGTCGTGGTCGTCCACGCGCCGTTTCGCTTCTTGAAGCGCCGCGTCGCGCTCGCGGACCATCGCTCGCGCTTCGTCGCGCTCGCGCGTGAGCCTCTCGACGCCGCCGTCCGCGTCCGACGATTTCGACCGCGCGTCCTCGACCGCGAGTTTCGCGCGCTTGAGCTCCGCGTCTCGGTCGTGCACCATGTTCCGCGCTTCGTCTCTCTCCGCGAGCGACTTTTGCAGCTGCGCGTCGCGTTCGTGAACGATCGAGCGCGCTTCGTCGCGCTCGCGAAGCAGGACTTCCACGCGGTCGCTCCCTTGCACGCCCTGAAGCGCCCCGGAGATGCCGTGAAGCGCGCCTTGCAGATCGTTATCGCGCTCGAGGACGATCCCGCGCGCTTCGTCGCGTTCTTTCATCGCGCGGGCGAGTTCATCGTCGCGCTGAAGCACGATGTTCCGCGCCTCATCGCGCTCTTTAATCGCGACCTGCGCGTTCGCCTCGAGCTCGGCCATGCGTTTGTTCGCGCGGCGTTTCAAATCTTCAATCGCCGCGCTCTCGTCCGCGACCACATTTTGACCGACTTCATCGCGCTCCGTCGCGAGCCTTTTGAGCTTCGCGTCCTGCTCGTCGACGATCGCGCGCGCCTCGTCGCGCTCGCGTTTGAGCGTCTCGAGTTTTGCCTTGATCTTCTCGTCCGTCGCCGCGCTCGCGACCGACCCGCGCGCGCTCGCGATTTTCTCCTCGAGCCGCTTGTCCCTCTCGTGCACCAACGCGCGCGCTTCGTTCCTCTCCGCGGTGATCTTTTGGAGTTTATCTTCGCGCTCTCGCACGACGTCCCGCGCGTCGTCTCGCTCCTTCTCGAGCTCCGCCATGCGTGCGTTCGCGCGGCGTTTCAAGTCTTCGATCGCCGCGCTCTCGTTCCCTCTCGCGGCGACCTCCAGCTGTTCGTCTTTGTCGCGCGCCGACGCGCGCGCTTCGTCGCGTTCGAGGAGCAGTCGCTCGAGCTTCGCGTCTTGCTCGTCCACGATCGCGCGCGCCTCGTCGCGCTCGCGTTTCAGCGTCTCGAGCTTCTTCTTCGTCTTCTCGTCCGTCGCCGCGCTCGCGGCCGAGCCCAGCGCGCTCGCGACTTTGTCCTGAAGCTGCTGGTCGCGTTCGCGCACCATCCCGCGCGCTTTATCGCGCTCCTCGGTCGTCTTCTTCAACTGCTTCCCTCTGACGCCGTCCTCCGTGGCGACGCTCGCAAACGTCTGGCGCGCGCTCGCGATTTTCTCCTCGAGCTGCTTATCCCTCTGGAGCACCAGCGCGCGTGCTTCGTCGCGCTCCTTGATCGCGGCTTGAATTTTGGCCTCGAGCTCCGCCATGCGGTTGTTGGCGCGACGTTTCAAGTCCTCAATCGCCTCGCTCTCGTCGCCCGCGGCTCGTTGACTCGCGGTCACCTTCTGCATCGCCTGCCTCGCGGCCTCGAGCTGCGCGTCGCGCTCGTGCACGATGTGCCGCGCTTCATCGCGCTCTTTCGCGATCGTCTCGAGCTTTACGTCTTGTTCGTCGACAATTGCGCGCGCCTCGTCGCGTTCGCGTAAAAGCGTCTCGAGCTTCTTCTTCGTCTTCTCATCTGTCGCCGCGCTCGCGACCGCTTCCCGCGCGCTCGCGACCTTGTCTTGAAGCTGCTGGTCGCGCTCTTTGACCATCCCGCGCGCTTTATCGCGCTCCTCGGTCGTCTTCTTGAGCTGCGACTTCTTCACGCCGTCCTCTGTGGCGACGCTCGCAAACGTCTGGCGCGCGCTCGCGATTTTCTCCTCGAGCTGCTTATCCCTCTGGAGCACCAGCGTGCGCGCTTCGTCGCGCTCTTTGATCGCGGCTTGAATTTTCGCCTCGAGCTCCGCCATGCGGTTGTTGGCGCGACGTTTCAAGTCCTCAATCGCCTCGTGCGCGTCCGGGTGCAGGTTACGCGCTTCATCGCGCTCTTTCGCGAGGGTCTCGAGCTTGCCGTCTTGTTCGTCCACGATCGCACGCGCCTCGTCGCGCTCTCGTTTCAGCGTCTCGAGCTTCTTCTTCGTCTTCTCGTCCGTCGCCGCGCTGGCTACCGACCCGCGCGCGCTCGCGATTTGGTCCTGAAGCTGCTTATCGCGCTCGAGCACCAGCGCGCGCGCTTCGTCGCGCTCTTTGATCGCGACTTGGGCTTTAGACTCGATCTCAGCCATGCGCGCGTTCGCGCGACGTTTCAAATCTTCCATCGCCTCGTGCGCGTCCGGGTGCAGGTTCCGCGCCTCTTCGAGTTCTTTCGCGAGGGTCTCGAGCTTTACGTCTTGTTCGTCGACGATCGCGCGCGCCTCGTCGCGCTCTCGCTTGAGCGTCTCGAGCTTCTTCTTCGTCTTCTCGTCCGTCGCCGCGCTCGCGACCGACCCGCGCGCGCTCGCGACCGCGTCTTGGAGCTTCTGCTCCTTCTCTTTGACCATCCCGCGCGCTTTATCGCGCTCCTCGGTCGTCTTCTTGAGCTGCGACTTCTTCGCGCCGTCCTCCGCGGCGACGCTCGCGAGCTGCCCGCGCGCGCTCGCGATTTTCTCCTCGAGCTGCTCATCGCGCTCGTGCACCAACGCGCGAGCTTCGTCCCTCTCCGCGGTGATCTTCCTGAGCTGCTCGTCGCGCGCGAGGACGATGTCCCTCGCTTCGTCGCGCTGCTTCTCCGCGGCGACGACGTTCGCCTCGATCTCCGCCATGCGTTTATTCGCGCGGCGTTTCAAGTCCTCAATCGCCGCGCTCTCGTCGCCCCGCGCGACTTTCTTCATCGTCAGCCTCGCGGCCTCGAGCTCCGCGTCGCGCTCGTGCACGATGTGCCGCGCTTCGTCGCGCTCGAGGAGAAGTCGCTCGAGCTTCTCGTCTTGCTCGTCCACGGTCGCGCGCGCCTCGTCGCGCTCGCGCAGAAGCGCGTCGAGCTTCTTCTTCGTCTTTTCATTCGTCGCCGCGCTCGCGACGGATTCGCGCGCGCGGGAGAGCTTCTCCTCCAGCTGCTTATCCCTCTCGTGCACCAACGCGCGCGCGTCGTCCCTCTCCGCGATCGTCTTCGCGAGCGACGCCTGGCGCTCGTCCGCGACGTTCCGCGCGTAGTCGCGTTCCTTGACCGCGGTCTCGAGCCGCGCCTGGCGCTCGTCCGCGACGTTCCGCGCGTAGTCGCGTTCGCGGGTGAGCTGATCGGCGGCGCCGGTCGCGGCGTCGGCTTCGCGTCGCGCGTCCTCGACCGCGACCGTCGCGCGTCGGAGCTCTTCGTCGCGCGCGAGCACGACGCGTCGCGCGTCGTCCCTCTCCGCGATCGTCTTCTCGAGCGACGCCTGGCGCTCGTCCGCGACGTTTCTCGCGTAGTCGCGTTCCTTCAACAGCGCGTCCGCCGCGGCGTCGCGCTCGCTCAGCCTGCGCGTCGCGTCCTCAGCGGAGGCTTTCGCCGCCTGGAGCGCGTCGTCGCGCGCGAGGACGAGGTTCCTCGCGTCGTCGCGTTCTCTGATCGCCGTCGCCAGTTGCTCGTCGCGCGCGACGACGATCGACCGCGCCTCGTCGCGCTCCTTGACGGCCACCTGGAGGTTCGCGTCGAACTCCCCCATCTTCGCGTTCGCGCGGCGTTTCAAATCTTCGATGGCGTCCGCGTGCGCGCGAATCTTCTCGTCGCGCTCCGAGACCATCCCGCGCGCGGTGTCGCGCTCGGCGATTAACGCCTTCACCTTGACTTCCCGCTCGTCCGCGACGTTTCGCGCGTAGTCGCGCTCTTCGACGACGGCGAAGAGCTGAGTGTCGTGCTCCGTAACCTTTTGGATCGCGTTCTCGACGCGCTTCGCGGCGGACTCCACCGCGACGCGCGCGTCGTGGAGCTCCACGTCGCGCTCCTTGACCATCCCCCGCGCTTCGTCTCTCTCCTTCGTCACGCGAGCGACGACCGCGTCGCGTTCGAGGACCATCGCGCGCGCTTCGTCGCGTTCGCGCAAGAGCGCGTCGACTTTCGCGGCGTCGTTTTGAAATTTCGACATGTTCCGCGTCACGTCCGCGAGCTGCCGGTCGCGCTCGAGCACGATCGCGCGCGCCTCGTCGCGCTCGGCGACGACTTTCGCCACCGCCGCGTCTTGGTCCTCCACGCGTTTCGACACGCGCTCGAGCCTCTCGCGCGCGGCTTGGAGCTCTCCGTCGCGTTGTAAAACAATCTGACGCGCGTCGTCGCGTTCGCGGAGCGTCCGGGCCATCTCCTCATCGCGCGCGACGACGATCGACCGCGCCTCGTCGCGCTCCTTGACGGCCACCTGAAGGTTCGCGTCGAACTCCCCCATCTTCGCGTTCGCGCGGCGTTTCAAATCTTCGATGGCGTCCGCGTGCGCGCGAATTTTCTCGTCGCGCTCCGAGACCATCCCGCGCGCGGTGTCGCGCTCGGCGATTAACGCCTTCACCTTGACTTCCCGCTCGTCCGCGACGTTTCGCGCGTAGTCGCGCTCTTTCAACGCGCGCTCGAGCTTGGCGTCGTGCTGCGGGTGTTTCCAGGGTGCAAAAAAAAGTTCATCGGTCAGTTGAAAGGGTACGCGATCGAATCTACGAATGTTGAAACTATGATACCTGACCCGACGGGGTGGGCGAAAACGTGTACAGAACAGAACGCACCTCGGCCGCGTCGCGCAGCGCGTCTCTCGCGGCGCACCGCGCGTCCTCGAGCGCGCGGTCGCGCTCGTGCGCGACGTTCCGCGCTTCGTCGCGCTCTTTGACAACCTTGAGGAGCTTCGCGTCGCGGTCCTTCACCGCGTCTCGCGCGGCGTCCCTCTCCGCGACCGTCTTCTCGAGCGACGCCTGGCGCTCGTCCGCGACGTTCCGCGCGTAATCGCGTTCGCCGAGGGTCCTCTTCATCGCGTCGTCGAACGTGCCGAGCTTTTCCTTCGCGGCGTCCGCCGCGACGCGCGCGCGCTTCAGCTCGTCGTCGCGCCTCGAGACCATCCCCCGCGCCTCGTCGCGCTCCTTCGCGAGCTCTCGCAGCCGCGCGTCGCGCTCGACGACCATCCCTCGCGCGCTGTCGCGGTCCGCGACGGCGTTCTTGAGCTGGAGCTCCGCGGCTTGCACGCGTCGCCGCGCATCGTCCGCCGCGTCTCGCGCGTCGATCAACGCCGCGTCTCGCGCCTTCGCCGCCGCGTTCATGGCGTCGCGCTGCTCCAGGAGCGCGCGCGCCTCGCGCTCGCGCTCGCTCGCGATGGCGCGCGCCTCGTCGCGTTCGCGCAGCGTGTTCTCGTGGTTACGCTCCGCGACGAGGACGCGTTGGATCGCGTGCCCGACGGAGTGCTGCAGCTCTTGCATCTTGTCAAACTCGCGCAGCACGAGCGCGCGCGCCTCGTCGCGTTCTCTGCGCGCGTCCGCGATGACCGCCTCGCGCTGTCTCAGCGCGTCGAGCGCGTCCGCGAGTTTCACGTCGCGCTCGCTCACGACGCGACGCGCGTCGTCGCGCTGGCGAGTCAACAGCGCGCACGCGGCGTCGAGCTCCGCGAGTTGGCGTCTCGCGACGTCGAGCTCGCGGTCGCGCGCGCGCACGAGCTCGCGCGCTTCGTCTCTCTCCGCGAGCACCGCCGCGATCGTGCCGTCGCGCGCGAGGACCATCCCTCTCGCCTCGTCCCGCTGCGCGACGAGCCGCGCGACCTCGTCGTCGTGTTCCGCGAGGCGACGTCGCGCGCGGCGGAGCTCCTCGTCGCGGTCCCTCACCGTCCCGCGCGCGTCGTCTCGCTCTTTGATCGCCACCTCCAGCGCGCGCGTGCGCTCGGCGACCGCGTCCCTCGCGCGCTCGAGCTCGTCGTCGCACGCGCGCGCGACCGCGCGCGCTTCGTCGCGCTCGCGGAGGGTGGCGTCGCGGTCGGCGGCGGCGCGCGCCGCGCGATTTCGCGCGTCTTCGAGCTCGCGACGCATCGCCGCCGCCGCCGCGTTCGCGTCGTCCTCGCCGCGACGCAAGCGATGCAGCGCGTCCTCCGCGGCGCGGACGGCGTCTCGGCGCTCTTTCTCGAGCTTGAAGCCGTTCGGGAGCCCCGCGTCCGCGTCTCTTCGCGCTTGCTCGAGTTGCGTCTTCGCGAAGGCTAAATCTCGGTCTCTCGCCTGCGCGGACGCGCGCCATCGCTCGGCGTCCTCCTCGAGCTTTCGTATCCGTCCTCGGCCCTCCTCCGCGGCGAGCGTCGCCGCGCGTTTCACCGCCTCGAGCTCTTCGCGGCACGCGGAGTCGTCTGGACGCTGCGCGCGGAGGACGACGCGGCGACGCCGTCGCGACGGCGCCCACGCCGCGGTCGCGTACAATTCTCGCGCGCGGGGGAGCGCGGGCGACGACGTCCCGAACGCGGCCGAGGACGCGAGCGCGTCGTTCGAGGACGTCGTCGTCGCGAGCGACCGTCGACGACGTTCTCCGGGGGTCCAGACCCAGCGCGATATCGCCGCGACCGCGCCTCCGAAGCTCGACGTCATGGCGATGTTAGCTCACAAAAAGATGCGGCTCCGAAAGACGATGGACGGATGTTTCTCACCGCGCGGCTGTGGACGGACGACCGTCCTAGTGCGCGCCCGCTTCGCGCGCGAGAGAAGAACCGGTATCGCGCGACGTCGCCGCGATCGCGACTCGCGCCTCTCGTGCGCGTGTTCGCCTCCTGGAGCGCCGATGGCTCCGCCCGCGGCGCTCGAGTGGTGTGCGACGACGACGGTTCGAAATCGCCCCGACCGAGGGTTTAAAGCTTTGAATCGAAATCCGGAAATCCTCGTCATCATCAGCGCTTTTTTGGGGTTTAGGGTTGCTCGCGAAGCGTCGGAATTTAACTCGAAAACGACGGTCTAAATTAGCCGGGGACGTGAGTTATGATAATTTCACTGTCGTTTGTTATGCACAACAGGTTATGTACATCTCTCTCTACCAGTCGTAGCTCTTCTTCACTTTGATCGCCCCGGTGAAGTCCGTCGGTCGCTTGAGCCCGTCGGAAGCGACCGGCTGCGCGTTGTCGGCGGCGCCGCGTCGGCATTCTTCGAGTTCCCGCTCCAACCCGCGAATCTTCGCCGTGCCCTCCTCTTTCGCCCTCGCCGCCGCGGCGCGCACTTCCTCAATCTCGCGCCGCGCGTCCTCGCCGCCGTCGCCGCCGCCGCCTCGTGCCAGCTGCTCCTCGATCGCGCGGATGCGCCCGCGTCCCTCCTCCGCGGCGGCGTTCGCCTGCGCCTTCACGTCTTGAATCTCTCTCTGCGCGGCTTCGTATCCGACGCGCAACCGCTCGCGCAACTCTTCGATCTCGCGCTGCGAATCGCCGCCGCCGCCGCCGCCGCCGCCGACGCCGCCGCCGCCGACGCGCAGATGTTCCGGGATAGGATCGCAGTTATGCATGCTCTGCTCGAGCGCGCGGATCCGCGCGCGGCCCTCCTCCGCGGCGGCGTTCGCCTGCGCCTTCACGTCGGCGAGCTCTTGCTGCGACGTCTCGTACCCCACCCTCATTCGCTCGCGAAGGTCGTTCGTCTCGCCTTCCAACGTCCGAACGACGCCCTCGAGCCGCTCGATCTCCGCGCGCGCCTGGTCTCCCGGTCCGTCGAGCGCGTTCCACGCCGCGGCAGCCTGCGCGGCGGCGTCTTCCTCCGCCCGCGAGATCGCTTCCCGGAGCTCCGCCTCTTTCGACGCCGCGTCAACCGCGGCGGCGGCGGCTTCTTTGCTCTGCCGCAACGCCTCCGTGGCGAGCCGTAAACGCTCCGCCGCCTCGCTCGCGGCCGTCGCGGCGGCGACGCGCGCGGCGTCCAGACTCGTCAGGTTCGCGGACGCCTCCACGAGCCGAGTCTCGAGCTCGAGCCCGCGATGCTGCTCGACGTCGGCGACGAGCGTCTTCGTCTCCAACTCCGCCACGACGCCCGCGAGCTCCACGCCGAGGGCGTCGCGCTGCGCCTCCGCGTCGTTGATGCGAGCCTCGAGGTCCGCGATGCGCGCCTCGAGGTCCCTGGAGACGTGATCGTGGTGCTCGTGCGCGCGCTCGAGCTCGATCCGTCGCTCCTCGAGCTCGTGGTTCTTGCCGTCGATCTCGCGCTGTCGCTGTTCGAGCAATCCGTCGCGGTCGCGAACTTTATCGTTCGCCTCGTCGCGCTCGCCGTACGTCCTCACGAGCTCCTCGTGCTTCTCCTTGAGCTCGTTGTCCCGCTGTCCGATGACGTGGCGTTCGTGCTCGAGGTCGTGTCTCGTGCGGTCGAGCTCTTGCTCGCGCTCCCACAGGTGATGCCGCGCTTCGTCTCGCTCCTTGGTGAGGTTTTCGATGTCTTGCTCGCGTTCCCACGTGTTGTGCCGCGCTTCGTCGCGCTCCCTCGTGCGCTCTTCGAGGTCGTGCGTCCTCGTCCCGAGCTCGTCGTTGGTCTCCTGGATGATCCGGTCTCGCTCGACGATCACCCCTCTCGCTTCGTCTAACGAGTGCGACGTCGACGAGAGGTCCGCGGCGAATCGATAGGCATCCGCGGTGGCTTTGTCGTACTCCGTCGAGAATTGCGTCAACGCGACGTCGCGCTCGTGAATCGCGCGTTTCGCCGCGTCGAGCTCGAGCTTCAACCGCGCGGTGTCGTGCTTGACTTGCGTTTGCATGTGAAGAATCTCTCCGGCCTTCATGTCGATCTCCGCTTGCAGCGCGGCGACGCGGTTGTTCCCGGCGGCGAGGTCGCCGCCGACGCCGCCGCCGTTTTCGTAATCCCTCAGACGCGCGCGCAGGGAGTCAATCTCCCTCGCCGCCGCCTCCGCGTCCGCGTTCGCCCTCGCTTCGCCTTGCCTCAGCCGGTGCAAGAGCGCCTCGGCTTCGAACACCGCGGCTCTCCGCTCTTCCTCGACGCGGTATTGCCCGGTCGGGAGCCCCGCGTCCGCGTTTCTTCGCGCGACCTCGAGCTGCTCCTTCGCGAAGACCAAGTCGCGCTCCTTCTCTTCGTACTGCGCCTTCCATCGCATCGCGTCCTGCTCCGCCTCGTGCGCTCTGATGCCCTGCTCCCTGGACGCCACGTCCGCGGCCGCGCGCGCGTCCGCGAGCTGCCGCTCCGTCTCTCCGGTCGCGGACGCGAGGACGGACTCGGGGTGAAGCTCCGCCCAAGCGCTCACCGCGCGTCGCAACGCATCCTCCGCGAACGCCTCGTCCGCGTTCGGCAGAGTCGCCGGCGGCGCGGGTGGCGGCGGCATCGTCGCCGTCGTCGACGACGGCCCAGTCGTCGACGACGGCCCAGTCGTCGCCGCGCGAGACGCGCGGCGGTTGTTCTCCTCGTCGTCAGCCTCCCCCGGAACGTTCCACCCGGCGCGAATTATGAGCAATTTCGACCGCGCGGCATGCCGCGGTCGAGCGCAGCCGAGGGGACGGCGCGCGAGGACGGCGCCGCACCGTTCGGGCGAGGACGCGTTTCGTCGCGCCCACGGCGCGGCCGCGGCCGCGATGGGTCCCGAGGTCAGCACCGCGCGCATCTCGCTGTGCGCGCCCAGAGCAAGGGTTTAGCCGAAAAAGCGCGGCCAGGTACCTTCGAGGGAGTGGGTAACGGCGTAGTACTTTTTGTATGAGAAATAGTCTGAAAATCGCGGTGGTACCATTTCAACTTTTTTGCTTTCAGCGTTGATCGATGTATCGATCAAACCAGAGAATTCATCGCGAATTTTTCAAAGGTTGCTTGACCGAGGCGCAACTTCAAGCGCGCGTAGCTCCCTAATGCCCGCGAGTCCCAGCGCGAAATCACGACCGCGATGAGCCCTGATGAAGGCGATCACGGTGATGTGCTTTTTGTGCTGGGACTCGCGGGCAAACTTGCCGAACTGAAATGGTACCAAAACGTACGTTCGTTACTGACTCCCTGTACCTTCGTAATTGCCAGGTTTGCGGTGCACTTTTTGGCAGATCCGAGGAGATCCCCCGCCACGTGGACCGGAGTAGTACGCTCGCACAGAGCAATCAGTCTCGAGAAGTCGCACGGTACGTTACGTCGCGGTCGGCAACCCCGGCAGACGGAGCCCTGCAGCGCTCAGGTGCAGCGCTCCGGCAGTGCGCTCCCGGCACCAACTCGCACGTCATCAATCACTCCCACGGCGCGCGCGATGATCCAAGTCGCGACGACCGCCCTCCCGCGCGCGCCTCGCGCGACGCGGCCGCGCGCCCCGTCGATCACCGCCAGGACCACCCCCCGCGGCGCGAGAACCCTCGTTGCGCGCGTCGGGCGCTCGTCCGTCGACGAGCTCACGGGCGAGCCGCGGTGGGTCGAGGTGAGCGACGCGTCCGCGGCGATCGAGGACGCGCGCGAGGCGTACGAGTCCGGGGACTACGCCGCCGCGGTGACGACGTTAGAGGGCGCGCTGAAGCTCGGCGGGAGCGGGACGAAGCGCGACCGCGCGAAGCCCGCGGAGCTCTCCATGGGCGAGCTCCAGGCGGTGTGGTACAACCTCACCGCCTGCTGGTCCACGCTCGGCGACGTCGACAAAGCGATCGCGTCGCTGGAGAAGACGCTAAAGGCTGGGTTCTGCAGCGCGGAGCTGTACGGGTTTAACAAAGCGAACGAGGATTACAACGCGCTCATGTCGGACGAGGGGATGAAAGCCGCGCGGGAGGATCCGCGATTCAAGGCGCTCGTGGACCGGTTCAACGTCCAGCCGACGGAGCTGCAACTTCAGTTGGACCCGTCGCAGTCGTCGATCGGGAGGGCGATCAAAATGTGGGGCGATAAGAAGAAATGAACGCGCGCCCCATCCCTAGCCCTACGCGACGTGTTGTAGCGGTGTTGTTGTGTGTCTACTAGTTACATATTATACTATTTCGTATCGCGCGTTATTCTTCTAACTAAGGAGCCCTACATACTTCCGTCGTCCTCGGTGTTCTTCCTCTTCTTCTTCGTCGGCGTCGTCGGCTCACAACCACGGCCGCCAGCCGCTCCAGGACGTCGCCAACACGAGCGGGTCCGTCGCGAGGCGCAGCAGCCGCTCCACCTGCTCCTCGACGCTACCGCACGCCTTCCCGTCCTGTGTCCCGCCGCCGCCCGCGATCACCACCATCTCTCTCATCCCGTCCCAGTGCGACGACCCCTCGTGCTTCGCCGCGCACTGCGCCAACGTCACCGCGGCGGGGTCGCACAAGTCGAGCTTCGCCCACGCGTGCGCGATCTTGAGCTCGACGTGCGCGCCCTCGTCCCCGGCGAGCCCGGACGCGCCGGCGACCGCCTTGGTCGCGACGACGCCGGCGTCGGCGTTCGAACCGCCGGCGTCGTCCGACGCGTCTTCGTCTCCGACGACTCTCTTCCCCGCCTTGACGCGCACCTGCCTCGCCTCGCGCTGCCAATCGATGAGCGGCTCGCGAAGAAACACGTCCATGACGCCTCGAAGCAGCGCGGACCCGCGCCGCAGCGCGTGCATCGCCGCGGTCATGTCCCCGCGCAGCGCCGTCTTCGCGTCGTTCGGGGCGAGCCCGCCGAGCAATGCGCCCGTCGCGCGAAACGGCACGAGCTCGGGAATAGGGAGCACCGCCGTCGCGGTCCCGAACGCGTACCCGAAGTCGATGTGCACCAACGAACCGTCGGTGAGGTCGAGGAGGATGTTTTGGAGGTGCCTGTCTCCGACGCCGGCGACCCAGCCGCACACGCTCGTCGCCGCGAGCGAGGACGCGTACGTACGACGGAGCGAGAGGAACGCGTCGGGAGAGCCCGCCGCGTTCATCAGCGTCGTTCGCAACGCCGGCGACTCCGGCGGGCGCTGCTCTCCGCCGGGGGACGCCTCCGCCGCGGCGCGTCGCGACAGTGACTCCAGCGCGCGCGCCGCTTCCGGGGCCGGGGTTCGAGCCATCGCGGCGAGGTAATCATCCGCGGAGACGCCGCCGTCGGTTTTCTTTTGTTTGACGACGCCGCGACCGCCGCCTTCGCGTCGTCTCAACATCCCGCGCGCGTCCGCGACGTCGTCCTCGCCCTCGCCATCGTCTCTCGCCGTCGCGCGCTCTTTAATCCAAACCTGGTGCGCCTCCGAGTGGAGCTGCGCGCGTTTCGTCGACGACGTCAGCGCGTGCAACAACGGGACGGTGCCGCCGACGAATTCGAGGAGACCGCATCGCGTCGATAAAGGCGCGACGTGAAACGTTCGAACGCGCAACGCTTTGCTTCGCGCGGCGGGGGAGGACGCGAGGAGCGCGTCCATCGCGCGAAACAGCCGCTGGATCCGGTCGTCTTGTCGTAAATCCTCCGAGCCTTTCGCGATGAACGCGTATTCTCGGCCGTCGCCGCCGCGCGCGATGAGCTTTTTCGGCCTTTGCTTGGAAGCGAACACGTCCACCTCGGGCTCGAACCCGACGATCTGCGCGTACGAATTCGGCAACGGCGGGACGACGAGCGCGTCGTACTGCCCGGGAACTTCCACGCCGTGGCGGTACAGCGTCGACGACGAGGACGACACCGCGGAAGAGGAGGAGACGGACGTCACGAGCGGCGGCTCGAACGAACCGAACCACCGCGAAAATTGCGCGGCGCGTTGACGCGGATGCATCTCCGCGCGCGCGAAACCGCCTTTCCTCCACCTCTCGCTCACCTCCAGCTCCGCTTTGACGATCGCTCTCGGGAGCCACGACGTCGCGTTCGCGGCGCGGGTTCCGACAGCGCCGATCGCGCGTAGCAGCGGGCCTTTCGCGAGCTGCGCGAATCGCGCGTTTAAATCCCCGAGGTTCGCCTCGGACGGGTCCGCGACGTCGCTCACCAACGCGTCCGCGGCGGCGAACATCGCGTCGTCGCTCGCGCCCTGCGCGGCGAGGAGCTTGAGATGCCCGCGCCACCACGCGAGGCGCTGCGTCGGGAAGTCCAGGAGGTCGACTGCGCGCGCGAATTGCGACCGCGCGGGCGAGCGCAACGCGCGCGAGAGCGCGACGGATCGCGCCGCGCCGACGTCCCCGAACGAGCCCCGGCTGAGGTGAAAGTCCGCGTGCATCGCGGACGGGTACTCCCGCGCGAGGGACTCTAACAGAGGCACGATCGCGTCGCCGCCGGGACCGGGGACGTCGAGCAGGGATAACGTCTGCGGGACCCACTCGAGGAACAGCCACGACGGGACGTCGTGGACGAGGCGTTTGAACTCCGACGCGGCGGCGTCGCAGTCGTCTTCGCGCAAGAGCGCGAGGACGCGAGGGATCAGATGCCGAGCCTTGGGGACGCGCGCGGCGCCTCCCGCGAGCGCGAGCAGCGCGTGTCTCACGAGGCTCGGCTCCAGGCCGCCGGGGTGAAGCGCGCCGGTCTCGTCCCCGCGGAAGCGCGCGTCGATCGCGTCGCGGCCGTCATCGCGATCATCGTTCGATTCCTTCGCTCGTAAAACGTCGTCGCAGTGCATCGCGAGACGCAGCGACGCCTTCGCCGCGCCTCTCGCGCCGTCGCTCTGGGTCGCGAGCGCGACCGCGTTCGCGAAGTTATCGATCGCGAGCGCGCTGAGCGCGTTCGCGTCCCCGCCCGCGGAGGAAGACGCGCCGTCGGGGAGATACGACGCGAGCGGCGCCAACGCGGCGGCGAACCGCCCGGCGATCGTCGCCGCCTCCGCCGCTTCCGCGGGGTACACGTCCAAGTCGCCTTTTTTCTGGAACCCCACGATCGTGGTCAGGGATTTATTTAGAAGCGCCGCGTTCCGAGCCTCGGGGAGTTCGCGAACGCCGTCGACGGAAAATTGCCCGGGCGCCTCCGCGGCGGCTAAGAAGACCTTGTGCACGGTCTTGTGAAACTTCCACACCTCGCCCGCGGGCGCCAATTCGTCGTGCGCGCGCTTCACGCAGATGTCCTTCGCGCGGCGTAAGTACTCGAGTGCGAGGTTGCGCTCGCCCGCGCGCGTCAGCCCTTTCGCCGCGCGCAGCAAACGCTCGCCCTCGTCGCGCTGTAAGAGCTCGATCGCGCCGCGCGAGCGCGCCGCTTCCGTCGGCGCGAGTCGATCGAACGCGCGCAAGCCGATTTCCCGCATCGCCGCGACGCGTTCCCAAACTTCGGGGGGGTCCAGCGAGTCGCTCGGCCATCGATCCCGCCACCTCCGCAGGAGATCTCGAAGCGGCGCGAGCGACCGGAGCTCGAGCTCGTCCGCGCCGCCGGCGTCGGCGTCGGCGCGGGCGTCGGCGCTGGCGCGTCTCCCGCGCGACCCGCCGAGGGCGCCGACGCGTCGCGCGCGCGCCAGCCTCGCCGCCGCCGCAGCCTCCTCGAGCTCCGTCGCGACTTGCAGCGGCTGCAGGAGCGCCTTCCTCGCGCTCGTCGCCGCCGGGTGCGTCCCGAGCCAACGCGCGCGGAAGGTTCGACGCGCGCTCGCGATCTGCGCGATCGCCGCGTCTTCGGCGCCGTCGAGAAGACGCGCGGCGGCGATTTCGACGCCGAACTCTTCCTCGACGAGCTCTCTCCCTTGGCCGTCGCCGACGACGTTTTTCAGCGCCGTCGTCTTGTCAAGCCGCAACATCGCGCGGATCGCGGCGCCGAGTTTTCCGCCCCCGGCCGCGGCGCCCGCGATCGCGCGCTCGTCCACGTCTTCGCTCGGTCGCAACCCGGCGACGGTGCACGCGCCGGCGAGGCCGACGCCCGCGGCGGCGTCGTCGAGCGTGCGCTCCCACTCGCTCTCCCATACGATGTCCGCGACTTCCGACCACTCGCCGAGGCGTTGATAACATCGCAGCTGCTCGCGCTCCCACATCCGCCTCTGCGCGCCGCCGCCTTCCGAGTCGCCGCCCGCGAGACCGTCGTCGAGGAGCGCGTCGTATATTTTCGACGCCGCCCCCGCGTCGTTTTCGAGCTGCGCCTCGAGCGCCGCGGTCGTCCGCGGGTGGTTCGCGAGCGCGCCGCGCGAGCACAGCCTCGACGCGCCGTCGTCGCCGTACGCGCGGTGAAGCCCCGCGAGCGCGCTCCACAGCGCGTCCGGGACGGGTTCGACGCTCGCGCTCGCGCCGCGCGGCTTTTTCTTCTTCGCCGCCGCGTCGTCGTCCGCGGCGTCGTCCGCGTCGCGCTCGGTCGCGACCGCGGCGTCGTGCAACGCGCGCGCTTCCAGGGCGACGATCCCGGCGGCGAGGCACCCGCCATTGAACGCCGCGGCGCGCACGACGTTCGGGTCCACGCCCGCGCCGGGGTCCGATGCCACGGCGTCGAGCGCCCACGAGGCTAACGTTTGATCGAGAGACGTCTCGGGGAGAAGAGCGGCGACGGCGGCGCGGATTTCCTTCCGGAGCGGTCCTTCCGCCGCGGTCGCCGCGGGCGCCGCGCGCGCGCGTTTTTTCCCACCCTCCGCGGCGGCGGCGGCGGCGGCGGCGCGCTCGCGCTCGGACGCTTCCGCGGCGGCGTCGTCCGCGGTCAACGCCGCTCTCGTGAGCGCGGAGATGAGCGAAGACGCCGTCGACGCGTCGCGCGTCGACAGCGCCGCGAGCGGATCGAGCAACGCGGCCGGCGTCACGCTCTTCACGTCCGGGAGCTCGCCCGCGCGGTACTTCCGAACGAGCGTCACGGCGTGCTTGCGTCGCCTCGCGCGCTCGCGCTCCGCGCGTCGACGGCGTTCCGCCGCGCTGTGGTACGACGCCGCGGCGTCGTCGTGCGAGGGCACGTTCCACGAGACGGACTTCCCGCCGCCGCGGGCGGCCGAGGCGCCGCGCGACGCCGACTCCGCGGCGACCCCGAGGACGCGGCGTCGCGGGAGGTTCCCCGCGTGCAACATCGCGCCGCCGCCGGCGTCGAAGATGGTCTCGCCGCCTTGCGTGCTCATCGCGTTGCGACGCAGCCACGAGGGGAGCTCCGCTTGCGTCGCGCCGACGCCGAGGCTGCCGCCGCCGCCGCCGCCGCCACCACCAGAGGGATCCGTCGACAGCGTGCTCGATCCGAACTGCGTCGAGAACGTGTCGCCGAACATCCCGGGCGCGGGCGTCGCCATCACCATCCCCGGCGCGCGGCGTTTCGATTTCAAAGACGCCGCGCTCGAGACTCGCGTCGACGACGCGAGCGACGGACGCTCGAGGCTCGCGAACGTCGCCGCCGCGCCGCCTCCGACGCCGAGCGAGCTCTGCGCGGACTGACTCGCGTTGAGTTGCGTCGCGAACAGAGGCAGCATCGGCAGCGACGCGCCCTCCCACGCGGTGTCTACTTCCGCGTCGTGAAATTCGCACTCCATGAGATCGTCCTCGCACATCGCGTCGCGGTAGGCGTCGCCCGATCTCGGGACGGCGAGGACGACCCCGCACGCGGCGGCGAGCCAGGTCGACGCGGTCGCCGCCGCCGCGGACGCGGACGCGGACTCGGGCGCGGTCGGGAGCTCGCGCAGCGCGGCGCAGAGCCGTTTCCCGAGATTGCCCGCGGCGGCGCCGCCGGCGCCGCCGCTCGAGGCGTCGCCGCCGGGCAATCGCGCGTGCAAGTGCGCGAGCACGGCGGCGCGCGACGCGACCGCGGCGGCGGTCTCTCCGACGTCTCTCCCCAGCGCGCGCGACAAAGGCGCGCGGACAGAGGCGTGATCCGCCAGCGACGGCACCGCGGCGGCGACGGCGACGCACAGCTCCGCGTGCGCGTCCTTCACCGACGCGTCCGAGCTCGCCCAGAGCGCGTCTTCGACGCGTTTCACGCCTTCACTCCACGCGCTCGCGTCGATCTTCTTCCCGTTGGGCCACCGCGCCGCCTCCGCGGCGAGACCCGGCAGCGTCGCGGTTAACGACCGCAGCGTCAGCGCGTGCGTCTGCGCGTCCCTCGCGGCGAGCAGCGCGGGGAGATGCCGAAGCGTTCGCTCCGCGAACGACACGCTCGCGCGCGCGTCGCATCGAGCGACGTGCGATAACGCGGTGAGCGCGACGAACCGCGGCTCGCCGTGCACCCTGGGAAGTAACGCGTCGAGCTGCGCGACGAGCGACGCGTCGTTCTCCAGGAGCCATCGCGGGTTTTTACGCGCGATTCGCTCGCACGCGGCGACGAACGCGTCTTGAGGCCCGAGATCGTACAGTTTCTTCAACCGCCTGCGGAGCCGCTTCTTCCATTCCGGTTCCGCGTCCGCGTCCGCGTCCGCGTCCACGGGGGGGCCCTCCGCGTCGACGTCCATCTCTCTCTCGCGCGACTTCGCGCCTTGCGCCAGCGCGACGCCGAGTAACGACGCCGCCGCCGCGTGAAGCGGTTTCCCGCTGCTCGTCCCGGGCTCCATCAAACACGTCGTGACGCCGACGCACACGCGCCGCGCGTCGCACTCCGGGAGCACGCACCCGGGGCTGTCCTCCTCGCCCGCGTGACGCACGGCGACGAACTCCCCGCCGAGGTCCAACGTCCCGACGAGCGCGAGCGCGCCGAACATCTGCACGCCGCACGACCGCATCGCGCGGCCTTCCTCCGATCTCGCGAGCGTATCGTCTACGGCGACGAGTTTGACGATCGCGGAGAGCGTCGGCGCGAGCGCGGACGCGGCGACGGCGTCGAGCGCGGTCGGCGCGT